CTACTATATATATATATATATATATATATATGGGTTTTGTTACGCTACACCACTTGTGGTGTATACCCTTAAAGTCCTCAACATTTTTTGGATACTTAGATACCCTTGCATTTTAATACAAAAATTTTCAAGCAGGGGCAGTTTTGGTCATTTAGAGGGGTAGAATGGATATTTCTATAAGAAAATAGTGGCATTCTATAGTTGTTAAAAAATAATTAATGCACCATGTGGGTGATGTTACACACCAAGTTGGTGATGTCATTGTCCACTATTATTCATAAATGCTTTTGTTTCTATTAGGAATTTCTACTTTACCCTTGACTAATTACTTAAAATACCCCTAGACAAAAAGTTAATATACTATAGGATAAGGGTATCTAAGTGTCCAAAAATATTGAGGACTTTAAAGGTATACACTACAAGTGGTGTAGTGTAACAAAACCCTATATATATATACACACACCATAGCGTTGTAGCTTTCATTGTTGGGAGCTTTCTTCTTGGTCCATATATCTCTTTTTTAGGAGTGTCTTTTAATAAAAAATTGTTCAACACTACACAAGATCACAACCGCCTTTTGGACTGTTGATTGGTGACTAAGCTTCAATTTAAATTGAATTTCTTGGGAAGCAGAGGAGTTCATGGACCATATATTGATTCATTGTTGTTATTCTACTGAAGTCTGGAATTATCTTTTGGCTTATGCGTAGCTGGGTGATACGATCTCCATGGTGGGCCCTTGTCAATGTTGAAGCTTGCCTATTCCCCTTTCATCATTATTGTACATTGTGGAAGCTATGTTGCTTTGCTATCTTGTAGGAGATGAACCAATGGTGGTTTGTTATGTACTCAAGCTGCCACATTAGGGGTGGCCCATTTTTTATTTGTGTAGTTTGTTCTCAGTAACTGCTGGCCCCATGCCTGCCCATGATAATAGTTCACAGTACTCTCTTAGATACTTGAAGTCAAGTTCCTAGCCGTGAGCGATTTTACACTCTTAGATACTTGAAGTCAAGTTCCTAGCCGTGAGCGCTTTGTCTAAGTCCTAAATGGCCTGATGTCTGAGTAAAAGCCTGATCCAAGGGTTGAAGCCAGTAAATGAAGTACACAAGCACTGAGCGCTATTTCAAAAGATTCGGAATTAGCTCCTCTTGAATCTGCTCAAGTCCCATTGAAGCATGGTGAGCCATCCTAGACATCTCACAGGGCAAGATCTCAGTCTTTAGATGCTCCTGATTCCCCCAATTGGTTTGCTAGGAAGAGAAGAATCTAAAGGATCAAGTTATCTACACATTATTCAGAGGTTAATCGTAGAACACCAAATACTGCGATATCGTATGAACCGGACATAGGTTGCATCCCTCATGACATGAAATTGAAAGATAGAATCTTCCTTGGAAAGACTAATCCATTCGGATTGACTTTAGAGTCCAACTGCTCTGCTTTGCCAGAATCCTTTTTCTTTTGAAGCTGTACAGAATCCATGTTGTAAATTTGAATCAGGTTGATCTCCTTGTTCTCTCAGGAAACAATCCTCTTCCACTGATCCCCCCATTGTCTTCTCTGTCAACCGATTCCTCTTCGAAGCAAAAAAGGACATGGCCCAAACTTTTAAGAAATGATTGGTCGAGTGACTTAGCATCTGGATATTTCACAGACTCTTTCCATCTCTTTATTGACTTCATTATCGCCTTTCCTAGCTGCACAACTGCCCATGCCATTAGTTCGTGATACATCTGGCCCATTACAACATTTAATTTCTTCACTTGTGCCTTTGCCAAAATTTTAAGTTGTTTTAAAGGCAATGGAAGTGTTGGTGGACAAAATGACTATTGTAAACATTTCTTAACACCCACAATGACATTCTCCAAACTACAAAAATATGGAGAAGCACCCAAGCAATCACTGCCTTGCCAGAGAAGGGGGTCATCCTTCCCTCTCTCCTAGTGATACAGTAACCTTCACCCCGCTCTCCCTAAATCGCCAATTCTGTACAGACCTTTCATACACAGTGTTGTACCGAAATTTTGTGACTACTGCACCAGACTTGTCCAGGATACCCGTTTAACATAGTTCAGAATTATAGTTAATATGAATTGTTCCATACCCATGCCTTTTAATTACAATTGTGTTATTACACTAACTATTAAAAGTAACCATGCTGTTAATGATCAGGGAAATTTTGGCAAGCATTAATGGCCAGAAACTAGATTGCAAACTCTACTTTGCTTGTGGTATGTATTTTTGAGTATGTATTATGATTAAGCACTCTGTTGTATACTGTTTTGTTATATTTGTGTGATTTGTGCAAGCTCCTTCAGATAAAATTTGGTGTTTACACAGCTCATATCTCTCTCTTTATATATATATATAATGTACATATGATGTTCCCGCTGGAGTTGTTCATTTACTCCCTCGGGTAAATCCCAATCTAAATTTGATTTTAGAACACCAAATTTTGAGATGGAACCTTTTCAACCTATAGAGTAGCCTCAATAAAAAAAATTGCTCTCTCTGTGCACTTGAAAAAAATAATGTCTCAAAATTGAATAGAGGCCGCCGTTTAATTTTTAGAGAGTGAGATCAAAGAACTAGAAAACTCAAAATTCGAATTTTTTCTTTTGAAAATAATCGTTCTAGAGACTTGGGTGGTTCCAAAATTTCCGATTGAAAAAATCTTCCCATATAGGTCTCTGACCGAGGGAGTAGACGTATACTATGCTCCCCTGGGAGCATATTGTATATGTACAGGTATATGTATGTGTATGTGTATGTATATGTTGGATCGTATATATATCCATCATTAAGTTTTGGATCTGCCGATCGTTTGTTTATAATATAAAGTGGCACCCACCTTTATGTGGTGGAATACTTACGAGGTAAGGTGATGTCTCGATGCTACTTGCAGTCGCAACCCTGAAGTTCTTTGGGCTCAGCGTTCTGATAAAGTTTACGTGACTGTTGCTTTACCTGATGCAAAAGATATCTCTATTAAATCCGAGCCTCATGGGTTATTCATATTTTCTGCAAAGGGGAGAAACAATGAATCCTTCGACTTCTCTCTGGAGCTTTATGGACCAATAGTTCCTGAGGTGAGTCTCTTTTTTTTTGGTTTTCTCTAAGCAAAAGCATGTTGTAATTGAGTGCCAGCCATGTTGGCTCTTGTTTTTGGGTTTCTCCATTGATTTTAGCTTTGTATAACAATCTGCTGAAAGCTCATATAACAGCCTAGGAACTAAAGATTTCCTGGAAATTAATATAATGTTAGTCTTGCTGAGTCGTGGGCTGTGGTGCATCGATACAGCTGTAGAATTGTTAAATTCTTTTATTTTGTGTGATTTTACATGCATTCTTAGAGAGTAACTGGTATGGATAAGGGGGACCCATTTTGAAGTATCTACGGTTTCTAATATTTGTAACTAGGAATAAAATTCTAGTTATTTTAATATTTTCCTGATGAATTGAAAGGGAAAGCATGCTGCCCAAGAGTGTCATAATTACTGTCCAATGAAATGAGGAATGGTGATCGAGAGAGTGGGACCAACCAAAACTGGACATGACACCAATCACGGTCTCACTTGCTGTCTTTCTCATACTGTCATTCCATTGGATGGTGATGACCCAAAGAGAATGGGGTTTTCCATCCATCATTCTATTTAGATAGTGATGACCCCAGGAGAATATAGCTTTGTATACCATGTAGTATGTACTTTCTCATGCTTAAAATAATTGGCATTCTTTGTCGAAGTTATTATTTTATTGGCTTTTTTACTTGTAACCTCATGTCATCCAAGAATAAGAAGCAAGGACATCTGTCAAATCCTATGGATGTTCCCATTGTAAAGAGCTGTTATAATTCTTGATCCATCTAATTTAAGAATTCCTATTATAATTCTCATATTTTACGAGAGCTCTTGCCATAATTCTCACTTTCTTGGAAATTCTACATGATGTGCAGAGTAACAAATCAAATTTTGGATTGAGGAATATACTCTGTGTCATCCAAAAAAAGGAGGAGGGTTGGTGGCCAAGGCTTGTGAAATCAGATGGAAAGCCAGCTCCATACATCAAAGTTGATTGGAACAAGTGGTGTGATGAGGATGAGGAAGAGGCAATAAATAGTAAGTATTAGGAAAGAATATGACACATCTAAGAGGCAAGGACGAATATGATACTTATTGGAAACATATTAAATGCATGGGTAGACCTAGATTAGGTAGACAAAGCTTTGAGAAGGGTGAACAAAAGGTTGGTTGGAACTTAATAAACATTAACTCCAAGAGAGAGAGAGAGAGAGAGAGAGAGAGAGAGATAGGGTAGAATATGATACTTGTTGGGATGAAATTGTCTGCAAGTGTTATGAACTTATGGTAGAATATGTGACTTTTAGTACCAAAGTAAGTGCAGTAGGCCTAGTTTAGGCAGACAAAGCTTAGAGATGGGTGAACAAAAGTCTGGTGGAAATTTATAAACAAGTATTCACTCCTTTTGTTTGCGTATATGTGTGTGTGTGTGTGAGAGAGAGAAGGGGGTTTATTATCGGAATGATTACTGTTGGTCTCTGAGAGAGAGAGAGAGAGTATTATCAGGAAAGCTTATTGGTCTTACTTTGCAGCTGATACACTGGCATTCAGCGGAGACCAAGAGAATACCAAGGTACGAAATCCATGATGCCATTCTTTTCTCCTGGCTTGGGCTTTGCTCTTGTAAAAGTCTGTCATTTAAAGTTCTAGGCAGCTAATATCTTCGCTTTTGAAAATGTCTTCATACAAACATCATCTTTGATGCAGAAGTATGAAGCAGATGATGAAAGCAGTGAAGATGAAGGATTACTCTGTAAGTCGACAACCTCTAATCCTATCTCCGAATAAGATATTTACTGCAGTCGCACAAGCTTAGAGAGAGAGAGAGAGCTTCAAATGCCCAATTTTGCATTAGTAACCTTCATCTACTATTGACGGCTACTGAGGTAGCATATGAGAGAATGGAGAGATATCGAAGTAAAATGTCAAAAGTTGGCATTAATAACCCATCTTACTATTGAGTTCTAATAATAATGGACAGGCCACCAAACTGGTTAGGTATTTTTGTACAGTTAAAAGTGGTTTTACCACCTATCAAACTGGTTGGACCATATTTTCAACAACCCACTCTATCCAAAAGTCAAATATTGCTCTTAACCCATTTTTTGCCAACCTAGATGGTCAAATATTGCTCTTTACTCATTTTTGGGAAACTTAGTTTTACTCTTAAGCCAAATAAACCTAGGCACCGGATGCTGGTGCAACCGGTCCTTAACCACTCCGGTGGCAATAACACTGATTGAGATATATACGTGTTGAGCCTCAAATGCTAAATTTGGCATCAATGAGACCTCTGTATTATTGAGGTAGCATTCGGAGCCTTAGCACAATATGTAGAACGATTGGGATTTTTCATATTTATTTTTTACTTTTTTAGGGTTTCAAAGCTTATATTTTTCTTAAGCTTATATGTTTCTTTGCCACATATGTACAGATCTCCCGGACTTACAGAATGCACGGGATGATTGAGGTGTTGGCCTAGAGGATGACAAGGTAAAAACAGATAGGAAGAAATAGAAAGGAAACTGACCTCGAATCTCGTTTCTGTCCATACAAACCTAACCCCCAAAATCCATACGTGTGACAGTTATGTGAATTGTTCTTTATTTCCTTAGTCTTGGCGACTCGAAAGTGATTCTTAACTGCTGCTCTCTCTCTGTTTAACCTCTCTCTCTCTCTCTCCATATGCCACCATAGAAACCAAGCTCAAGCTAGTCTCTTACATTCGCATTCCTCCCTTTCTCCCAAAAATGGTTTCAGTTTTTCCAAAAACAACACACCATAAATGTATGCAGTAAAAGAGATCAAACCTCAAACTAAATGTAGTAAGAGAGATCAAACTAACCGATATGGATCAAATTAGTACGACAGAATAATATCATAAAGCCTATTTAACAAGTAATTTTATAGCAGATTATCTCATCTAGAATTAATACACTTCACATAATATTAGTTTATTTAATTCTGACATTTACTAGCATGTATAATATTATTTAATTAAAAAATATTATTTAAAGTTGCAAACTTAATACTATATAAGTATACCTCAAACATCGAGTAGAAAAAAATGTTATACAGTTCAAAAACCTTCTATTTGATCATCTCAACTTTGAGATTTGAGATGCATGGATATAGAGAAAAAAGAACTTTTTCCAATGTGTGTTTGCAGTATCTGTTAGATCGGCATCCTTTTTTGAATTGAAATTTCGTAAATTTTTATTTTAACTACTATTTTTAGTTGTTTCTTTTACTTGCAGTTAAAATTAAGTGCTTCCAACATATTACTATGATAAGAAATGGGGGCAAAGTTTCTATACTTCCCCTAAAGTATAAAAGATCTATATTTCTCCTACCATCCAGTCATCCAACCTACCATCCAGCCGTTCAATTTTGATCAAAAGAACCACTCACTATTTGATCTTATATCCGACATCTCAAAGTATTTTATATTTAATTTTTTTATATAAATTGTATTAATTTGAAATTTAGTACGTGCCATCTTCTCATTAAGACGCATTTATAAAAAATATTTAAAATAATTTTTCAATAAAATATAATGATCAAAATACTCCATGAAACTTTCAAAGATATTTTGATCCTTTTATTTTATTGAAAATTTTTTTTTTTATACTTTTTGTTAGTACAAGTTTAATAGAAGATTGGACGTACAAAATTTGGCGTCAAAATAGTTTATAAAACAATTAAAAATAAAATAGTGCCGTGACATTGTAATTGGAGCAATCTTAACCGTCCATTCAAAATGGACGGTTTGATAAAAAGAAATATATAAGTTTTATGTTGTAGGAGAAACATAGAAAGCTTACCATAGAAAACTTTTCAAAAAAATAAAAATAAACTCCTATATTACAACTATCTAAGTCATAAGTATCTATACAAGTATACAAGTCATCAGATGTTCAAATAGACATCAAATAAATAAAGGTGTAGTTGGCATTAAGTATCTATACAAGTATACAAGTCATCAGATGCTCAAATAGACATCAAATAAATAGGTGGCATGATGCATCCGTAGTTGTAGAGCCAAGGTGCACCTACAAATTTTATCATGATATATAATTTTGATGTAAAATGATCTTAAGATTATTTCAAAATCTATTTTTATATCTAATTATAAAATTTATTAAAATAAAAAAGATCTATAAACATATGAAAATTTTGAAAATGGATGGTGTAGATAATATATCGTAAAACGAACTATTTTTTAAACTTAAAAAATATTTTTATTTTTCATGATCATACATCGATGCACATCCACATCCATAGCTCTACATTATAAGGTGGATTTTTGAGATCCCTAATACTACATTATAAGGATATATAAACTTTTTCCAATAAATAATTATTTATTATTGTAATTGATTTTATTAAGCCAATATGATAACAAATATATCCCCCATGATATAAGACGTCAAAATCCCTAGAATGAGTCAGTAATTATGAGAATTAAATAGTGAAACCATACGGGAAACCATCCGACCTTAGTTGCATTAATAACTCAACTTTTAACATAATAAATTAAATTGAGCAAGGCATCTGAACGCGGGAGAATACATAGTGAAACATACACGGGATAGATGACACTTCCCTATATAAGAGTTATCACATGTAAGCATCACAGAGCCATAAAAGAAAAGAATTGGGAGAGAGAGAATACATAGTGAAACATACACGGGAGAGATGACACCTCCCTATATAAGAGTTATCACATGTAAGCATCACAGAGCCATAAAAGAAAAGAGTTGGGGGAGAGAGAGACAGAAATAGGGAGAGGAGCATAATCACATCATATAAAAAAACAAACAAAAGCTAAGTGGAGATTAGGCCCCTTTATTTTTTTTTTCTTTTTTTTTTGTGAGAATGAAATTAGATACTTCATCAACCATTGATACTACCACCAACACTCACCCATTCTCAATTCATACAAGAATTCGAAACAACTTTAGTTACATGGGGGAACAAAGATTTAAAACCAAGCAAAACATATTACATGGGTGGAGAAAGAGAGAGACTACAGCACATTAGTCACATATGCAAGAGACACAGAGAGAGAATATAAGCGCTTAGTTACAGGGGCCGCTGACGGTGCGAACGGAAACAACAGGGATGGAATCCCACCATGCCTTGAGTCTTTTATTGCTTTGCTTCATAGACATGGATCTACCAGCCTTGGAGTTCATGTACACTACATATAGGAGTAACCCCATCAACAAATATTTCAAGGGCACAACTATGAGCACAATAGCCATCCCAACCATTGCCCACATCACCATATTAGTGTGCTGAAATGCCACCAAATCGAACACGCAATCAATGCATTAGAAAAGTGCACCTGTATATCATGCTCTAGAAGAGAGAGAGAGAACCCTCGAGTGTTGGGGTTGTAAACAGGTTGACTCGACCTGACCCGGGTTTAGACCTAGATATTAAACTCCATTGGTCCAGCCTAGTTGTTTGACCTGGGCCCAACCCTACCCAAGTGATATCTCTATGTATAATGAGATTGTGTAGAGACCATTAACCTTTTATACAAGGTGGTCATAATTACAATTATGTACAACCGACTTGAAAAAATCTGCTAGCTTGGGTGTATAAGTTCAAGAAAATTTATTTTCTTTTGAAGTTTGAGCTTGATCAATGGAATAAATATAGCCATCTAATTTCTAATTTCACATCCAATGGTCAAGATTAAATTGTGACCACCTTATACTAAAAGTAAATGATCTCATTGTATACCTTATAATTAATATGTATAGCCATATATTACTGAGATTATTTTTATATTACCAAAAATATCATGACTACAAGAATCTTGTTCCTCCAATAAAATTTCTTCTCTTTTATCTCGACCTAGATTACGTTCCTATGACCTGGACCTAACCTGGATCCAAGTACGACCCAATTGGGTCTAGGTTGAGGTCCGGGGTGGGGATCGACTTGGACTTGAACTGAATCGACCTGTTTACACCCCTGTTTTTGAGAGAGAGGGGGAGTGTTGAGAGAGAGACCTTGGGAGCCCTTGATTCGAAAATAGAGCGACTCTTTAAGATGGCAATATTGGTAGTCTGAACGATGTTGTAGAACTGGTGGAGAGCATGTTGAGCAGAGACTATGCTCTCCATGGGGGTTTGGTCTGATGAAGTGCATATCACTATTTCCTTGCATTTATCTCTAACTCGCTTCCGCCGAACCCACAACATCAACCCCACCATCCACACCAAAATAGCAGCTAGTGCAGGCCAAATCCATTCCCTAAAAGGAAAACCTCAATTTTTCAATTACAAGAGAGAGAGGGGCTCACTTAGGGGGGAGAGAGAGATGCTTACTTGTAGATGATCAGTAAACTCGTAGCTAGCACAAAAAGAGTAATTGTTGGTCTTTCCCACTTCAATACTGCTTGAAACCATTGCCAGACACCTCTCAATGGACTCAGCAGCTCCTACATGAACCACACACCATGTTAAAATGGTTCGAAAAATGGTTAAAAGATTCCTGATCAAATCAGGGATTCTCAATCCGTATGGGAATAGATAACTGATTCAACTGAATCAGCAAGTTCGCCCTATATATTTAACTAATTTATAGACTTATATTTATGTATTTTTAACTCGAGAAGTCCATATAAGGATTAGTTTCAACCTACACACTTTTAAGGCCCGTAAGAATACTCTCTACGAGAGTGGGAAGCAGCCTCACAAAACCGTATAATAAATCATCAAACATACATAGGAACAAGTTCTTGATTTTTTTTTTTGATAGGAAAATAATTTTTTTAGGATAACGAGTGGCGTACTACGGGCACGTTTCATTCACATGAAAATATTTTCTGAAAAATATTTTCATGTTAAAAAATTCCTTCATTTCGCTAAGTATAGAAATATTTTAACACAGATTGATCTGAATCTGTTCATCAGGCAACAAAAATATTCTTATACCTAACCACATGAGAGAATATTTTCACGTGAAAACATTGTTCAGGATATATTTTCACGCGAACCAATCATGCATTACAAGTTCTCACTTCTCCCTGGCTATTTCTTGTCCTTCCAAGATTAAGGTGATTTTTTTTTTAAGGGTAAATCAATAGGAAAGGGTCCCCTAGAATGGAACTTAAAGACAGTCATGTTGTACACCAAACTGCTGATCCAGCAATCTGGATCGGACTCTTAGAGAGAGAGAGAGAGAGACCTGGAGAACAATAATACTATCAGTAATCCCCTCCTCTTTGAGCCCTTCAACACTGGCCTTTGCAATCTCAATCTCTTTAGCTTCCTCCCTCACTTGGCTAATAGTACTCTCCAATGATGCAAGATCCTCAGCAACCTCAGGCCCTACACTTGTCTCCATCTTCTCTTCAATTCCCATACTCCACACATATGGAGGACACACATTCATGCTCCTCAATATGGAAGTCGGGGAACATGGGTGTATACTATTGGTTTGCCTTAACCCATTTGCTAATTCATCAAGCACAAGATCACCTTTTGGTGACTCATCAAATAAGGTGAAGATCAAGAAATTAGTAGGGATGGGTGGAAAAATTCTAAGCATTTCTCTTGCTGCATGGAGTCTTACAATCCCGAGTATCATTCTTGCATGGGCCTCCCATCTTTGAAGGCGAGACTCTATCTTGAACCTTGCTAAGAATTGGTGCAGTAAGGTGACTTCTTTTATCAGTGTGAGCCAGTGATCTCGTCTCGTGGAGCTCGTCATCTCCGGGAACTCGAACACTACCCCTTCCTGCCTACGAATTTGAAAGAGAGAGAGAGAGAGAGAGAGAGAGAGAGAGTACTATAGTGACGAAGTACTAGAGTAGATCGTAGTCGGCGTACGTAACGAAAAAGTAAAAAGTCGAAACTAAACTTCCTACTAGTGTAGAGAGAGAGAGAGAGAAGAAGAGAGAGAGAGAGTGTACTACTACGTAGTAGTA